CCTCGTGAGCCCCTGTCTCAAACAAAACTGAACAGCCGATCAACCACGAACGAACAACAAAATGCATATTTAAAAAATGCCTGTTATTGATAATGTGTTCTTCATCTTCCAGGATTGCAGCTGCTGCTGATTCTGGTTCCGAGTAGTGGCAGAGGGGAAACAACCCAGGGATCACTCTCCACTGGCTGTTGATTAGCTGCTGGGAAGCCAGTGAGTCACCCCTACCCCCAAGGCAGGCAGCCTGTATGAGTTCCTCACCCAGAGAAGAAGGAGGGATATTAAGTGAGCAATCCTGCCTGAAATGCACAGAGCAACAGGAGACAAACAGACTCCAAGGTTCCAGGGAGACTTCTGCACCCAAGCAAACTTCTTCTCTTCTCCTGGTGGGATAGCGCGCGCGTGCGCGCGCGCGTGTGTGTGTGTGTGTGTGTGTGTGTGTGTGTGTGTGTGTGTGTGTGTGTGTGTGTGTGTGTGTGAGTGTCTGGGACTAGGTCATCCAGCCTCCGGTTTTACCTGCCTTCTGGAGACTGAGTGCATGTATGTACGTGTGGGGAGGTGGATGAGGATAGGGGGAGGGAAGGGGTGTCGATGAGGGCTGGGTGACACAGAAGTAGACTCTCAGTGTTCACTAGTGACAGACAGCACTCTGCCTGCTGGAGGACCACACAAGCATCTCTTGGTATTAAAGGGGAATTGGCTACAGGATCCCCTTAGAACCAAAAATCCAAGAGTAATCAGTTCCTTAAACAGAATGTCCCAGTGTTTACACAGAATCTATATTCACCTTTCTTCCCCTATACTTTACCTCATCTCTAGATTTCTTAACACGTGGCGCTATGCCAGTAGTCATTACCCTGTACTGTTTCTCATGTGACGAGAAGTCAGCATAAGCTAAGAGTAGAGGCAGTCCAGCCTACCTCCCAACCACTGCAAAGCTCCCATTCCACACTTGGTTGAAATCCTGGAAATGGGCCCAGGAATGTAAAGGGACAATGTAATCCCTCCCATGTTTTAACTCACTTTTGGACATGTGACATTGCTTAGCCTCAGAGGTTTTAAGCCTTTGAAATGTGGGGCCTGTAGACTGGCACACACAATCCTGTCTATGCAGAAGGGTTAAGTGTAAGCCCTACAGGAAGAACTCACACAGACAAAGAACACACAGTTTCAGGCTGACTCCTTGGGCAGGCAGAGATGGCGAAGGGAGAGGGATCATGCATCTCCCTGGTTACTCCCCATCCTGAGTCGCCAAGCCCCAGAGATCCAAAGGAAGTCTTGTCTGGTCTCTTCAAGATAAAGATAACCTTCACTGAAGATAATCTTCAATGAAACCTGGCTACTAGCTGCCCCTAGTGCAGGTTTTCCTGTTCGGCACCCTGACCTTCCTCTTCTTCTGTTGATCTCCATCTGTGAATTGTGTTTGACCTGATACCCAACCCGGTGCTGCCTTATAGAACAAGGTATGACCCAGACTGACCACGTGGTGGGGAAAAGTCTTATCCTCAAGAAACTTGCCCAAGGAAGAGAGGACAGACCCACATGACAAATTCTGCAGCCCTTAAAAAAATGGGTAACATACCCCTAACATGCAACACACTATCTTAATCATTTGAGGGGTACAGTTCAGTGCCACCAACAAATGCTGGGCAGCCCTCCCATTGTCTATTCACAGCAATCAGGAAACCTCAGCAGCCCTCCTGTCTCACCCCACAACCCCCACAGCACCAACATTACAAGTGCTTGGGGTCACTTCTGAGTTTTTATGTGGGTTCTGGGAGTTCGAACTTGCATCCTTAGGCTTGTGTAGTAAGTGCTCTTACCCACTGAACCAGCCCTCCCTCATTTATTTGTCTGTGTGTGTCCATCATAGGCAAAAAAAAAGATAAACACGCTGATACAGTCACATAACTTAGTATTACTTAGCCTCAGAAAAGAGCATATTCTGATCATGTGGTAGCATGAATGATCCCAGAGAGTGACATAAGCAAGGCACAGAAGATAAAGGGTCTTGCAACTCTATTTCCACGAGGTACCTTGAAAAGACACATTCACCATGCCAAAGCCAACCCTTCTGCCCAGCTAGACGGTGCCCACCCATTGCCAGGGTCTAGCCAGATGCAGACCATTACAGAAAACCACAAGAGATCAAAATGAACAGAACATGAGATCTTGTGGTACTCAGTCCCAACTGATACATCTGCAACATAACTCCTACACCCGAGGCTCAGGGATCATTTCAGAAGAGGACGGGGGAAGACCCTCCTAGGGAGCCAGAGGAACAGGAAGTTTGCTATGTGATTGCGTTTCTAAAAAGAGCAGAGAAGCTACACTGAAGTCTCATCCACATGGCTGCCTAAGCAAGACCTGAACAATGACATCATCAGCAGACAGCTCACGGGGCTCAGCCCTAGACAAGGAAGTACAGGCGGTCAGGGAATGCTGAGGGTGGGAGAAATGATCTTCCCCAGAAAAGATAGTGATTATCCAATACCAAGTAGTCCGCACTGAGATTATACATGCAGATAGCCAGATAACACTATACAGCCCAAACCAGTTGTATTTATGTATTTAGGAACACACACACACACACACACACACACACACACACACACACACACACACACGTTTGTAGCAACAACTAAAGAAAAAGAGGACATGAATTTGAGAGAATACAGTATAAGGTGCATAGGCAGGGCTGGAGGGAAGAAAAAAGAAGTAGGGAAACAATGCAATTATATTGTGATTTCAATTTTTTTAAGTACAAAAAGACACTTTCGCAGAGACAAAGTAGAACAGAGGTGAGTGAGGGTCAAGGAATAAGGAATTACTGTGTCTTTGTTACAGTGTATTGGGGATGATGAAAAATTCTAGAAATGGTTACATAACACTGTGGAGGGGCTGAATGCTACTGAATTGTACAATTAAAAAGATTAAAATGATCAGCCCGACACTCTATTTTACCACAAACAAACATGACTTCATGCTGATGCCTCTGGATCCAACACAATTGAGTCTGTTCTGGCCTCCTGTCTCCTGGCCGCCCCAAGCCTGGATCTCCTTGTCTACAGTAACTTACTGTTGAAACTGAGTATCCGTCTTCGGAAGAGCCAACCCCTGTGTCTGTGAGACACAAATATATTAACAACATTATTTGTTCACAGCCTAACTTCCTTTCATTGCATACTTTCAGAGCATAGTGATGGCTTGGTTACTGGGGCTCTTTCTTCACCACCGCTTCCGTGTGGTGACATCACTTATTTGCAATATAGTTAGGTTCATCTGTCATACTTTCTGTCCTGTTTTGAGTTTCAGCCCACATTCTATTTATTTTTTAAATTTACACCCTTCCATGTTCAATTTTTTGTACATGGTTATTTGGGTTCTAACCAACCCACAGAGCTTCTATCAGTCACTAGTCATGAGGCGGAGCTGTGTCTTCACCCTTAGATGCCCTCACACTGCCTTTTGGTCATCAAATCCTCCCAACACCTGACAACAACCTCTGATCTCTTCCCTACCCCTATCGATTTTCCTCTTGCAGAATGTCAAATAAATGGACCCATACAACATGGAGCCTCTTGGTTTCAGATTACCTCACTGATAAAATACATTTAGGGTTCATCCACGCTGTTATTTTGTCACTACCCATACTTTGTCCCTTTTTATGGCTGGGTAGTAGTCCATCTGTCATACAGATTATGACCTTTGTCTACTCAGTGGACATGAGTAGACATGAATTTCTTCTAGTTTTGGCAATTATGATTAAAGCTACCAGAAGCATGCAGACATAGTTTCTTCTTCTTTTAAAAAATATTTACTTTATTCTTAATGCTATGTTTTTGTGTGTGTTCATGTAGTATGGGTATGTGCACATGAATGCTGGTGCCTGCAGAGTCCTGCAAAGGGAGCTGCATTCTCTGGGGCTGGAATTATAGGTGGTTGTGAACCACCATACATGGGTGTTGGGAACCAAACTCAAGACTGTGGCAGAGCAGAACACACTTAACTGCTGAGCCATCTCTCTGGGATAAATACCCCTAAATAAGATCACTGCGCCATATGATGAATGCATATTTATATGGAACTTCAAAACTAGAACTCAAAAGTTGCACCCATGCCAGCTCACTGATAATACTACTGTTACAGAGTTATTTGCTGCTGCTCCAAGCGTTGTATCACTCTAAGCTATTCTAACCAGTGGACAGTGGTGTCTCATTGTGGTTCTAATGTTACCGGTGACTAGTTATGCTGAAAACATTGTCTCTATATTTCAAATTGATAGTAAGTAGGAGTAAATCCTTAAGTATTTCTAGCCTAATTGTATTACCATACAACTACTGACACTTTGGAGGCCATTGCTGTAGGGGGTGACTAGGGAGGAACTTGGTCAGGGCTGAAGGGGTTGAGAAGGGTGCCTGGGTGATGTGCATAGGGCGGGGATGTTGTGGTGACCTAAGCCGTTTAACAGTGGGGAGGATCCAGGCAGGCAGAGGCTAGCCCAGTGGGGACATACTGAATCCCAGTTGCTGGGATCTAAGGCGGACTAGAAGTCCTTCCGATGGACTAAGAGATAAGCTCAGGGATGGATGCCCGTCATTCCTATCTCTGATGATTCCCAACCTGATAATATTACCTGTTTAAGGGGTTTTGTACATTTTTACACACACAGCCACCATTCTGCTTCAAAAATGCACTTTGAACTGGTTGTTAAGATCACTCCCGTTTTACAGATAGGGGAAGCAGCTGGGAGAGGTTAAGTAACCTACCCAAGATGACCCAACAGAAGTCAGCTAGGATAGGCAGCAGAATGAGAGCCAGGTCACCTCTTCTGGAGCTGTACTTCATGCCATCATCTCTCTCTCTCTCTCTCTCTCTCTCTCTCTCTCTCTCTCTCTCTCTCTCTCTCTCTGTGTGTGTGTGTGTGTGTGTGTGTGTGTGTGCTCACTCGTGCTGTGGGGAAGGGAAGGCACACTATTGTCATCACAACAAAATTAATCCTGAGTTTATTTTTCTAGCTATGTCTGCATGCTCTATAAAAGTTAATGAGTCTCCACCGGTGTAAGCAAGCCACTCCTGAGCTGTATGGGACTTCAAAGATGACTAAGACTTTATGCTGACATGGACAGACTTATACACAAATAATTTAAATTGGATGACCCTCAAAGTGATGGCTTGGAAGACTTCCCCAAATTCCTCACTCAGACACAACTGCCCACCCCGCACCTCTGACTAAGAGATCTCCAAATTCGAAACACCTAAAGCCAATTTTCTGCTCTCTCCCAAATACCATTGGCCCTTCTCATCTTCCCCTCTGGCGGTGATGACCTATCCCAGAGTCTTGGGATCGTCCTGGATTTCTTTCTTTCATAACCACATTCCACACATTAGCACAGCCTGTGGGCTTTGAGCTGAGACACAGCAGGAGCAGGAGTACATACTGTGTCACATGTATGTACACCCCAGCTACTCTGGCCCCGCTGCTGCCATGTCTCCCTCTGCCCCATACGGTAGCATCTCGATGTAAGCAATCTGATGAAAATTAGCTCAAGCCATGCCATTCTTGCTATTGACAGCGATGTCTATCTTAAAATAGAAGCCAGCAAACTTTCCATGGCCCCTGAAGTCCCAGAGCATGTCATTCTGACCGCCTCTCTCTCCATCCGGCCACGTGGCCCCTGAGGTCTGCTGGGATCTCTTGCTGTAGGGCTTTGCATTCAGTCTCTATTGTCTGGTCCTCTCGCTCCGGAACTTCACGTGCCTGGCCTGTTCAATCTTCTCAGGCAATCAATCACCCCTCACCCTGTGTTGCCTTGTCTTTTCTACTTTGCTCTCTCTGTAGTTAAAAGTGTATCGCAGCATCTGATGCTCATTCGAGACATACAGTAAAGTTTCTTTATGCACTAAAAGCCCTGTGGAGCATTGTTTAATCTGCTTTGCTCTCTGAGCATCCATAACCCCTAGAACAGAACCAAGAGCTCGCCTTACATACACACCGAACAAAACGAGTCATTCTCGAGTGAAGGAAATGACTAGTAGAAGATGAACATGAGCCAGGACCCAAGCTGGAGGCCAGAACAAGAGCTTGGGAGCTGCTAAGCAACAGGGTTGCATCTGAGGGAACCTCACAGGCCCTCACAGGGAGGGACTGCAACAGTGTGAGAAAGACCCCTTTCTTCATTCTGGGAGTTCACCCCTACACCTTGTATTGTTTCCACAGTATCTTTCGGACTCTTTCTTGTTTAGCATTTAGATTAAGATCGCAGCGGCAATTTCTGAAGCGACAGCTGCTCTTAGCCCACAGCCCCAGGTGAAAATCGTTTTTCATCAAAGTGGCTGGTTTTCAGTTGCCCTTCCCTCTCTCCCGTGAGTGCCCTTCCAGTCAGGGGTGTCCTCATCCACACCCAGGGCTGCCTCAGCGCCACACTGCTTCCTGGTTACCTGTCCGTTTTCCTGCCCCTTTGCTTGTTACAGAAGTGCTTTGGGGGTGTGGGGGTCTTGTGGACTTTTTGATCTGCTTTGCTTTCATTTCTATCTCAGTTGCCCAGTGCAGGACCCGGCTTTTCCTCAGTGTCTAGAACATCCGGACTGTCCAGCATGGGGCCTGCTGCATTCCGGGAGGTGAGCCGCTTCACCGGCACCCGTCTACGCGGGTCACGCTGAATCCAGGTAGCCGAGATTCTGTTGCAAAGCAGAACACTGGGCCCCTCCTGCCCACGTCATCCCCACACCAAAGGAACGTAAAGAAGGCCGCGGGAAGAGTGAAAGCAGGAGTGTTGACGTACACCTTTTTCATTTCACTTGGTGAAGCCACGGTGGTGGTTTCTGAGGTCCTCTCTCATCGGGTGGCAAGGGGAGTGTGGGGCTCATGCCCCAGTGACTCTCATGTCTCCCGTGGCAGGAAAGGGCCGAACAGCCCAAGCCAGGACTCCTTCCTTCAGTCCCTGACCCAGGCCCTTCCTGCTCACTCCCGGAACCATCTTCCTCTGGGCAGAGTCACGTGGCTCATGCTGGCCCTGCCATCTTCCCTCCCACCAGCCCCTCCCCCAGCAGGGACATGCACAGCCACTTGCCATTTACTCCACTAACAGCAGTTCCAGGGAAGAGACTCCTAGTATCTTTCCGGGGCTATCCAGGGAATGCCCATTGTCCTCGTTTGTTTCTTGTCAATGTGACGGAAGCTGGCGTTATCTGGGAAGAGGAATTCCAATGGACAATTCTTACACAAGTCTGTAAGGCATTTCCTTGATTAATAATTGGTGTGGGAGGGTCCATCTGATGAGGGGTAGTGCCACCCCCGGGTAGGTAATTCTGGGGGAGGGGGCGGTGATAGGGAAGCAGGCTGAGCAAGTCACGGGGAGCCAGCCAGGAAGCAGCACCCCTCGGTGGTCTGTGACTCAGTTCCTACCTCTAGGTCCCTGCCTCGCATTTGTGATGGACTATAAAGTGTAAGCTGAGATAACCCTGGTCCCACCTGAATTGCTTCTGCCCATGGTGTTTATCACATCAATAGAAGCCAAACTAAGACACACATTCTTTTTCCTGTGGAAGCCTACAACTCAGGCCAGGTCTCAGCTGTGTATGTTCTAGGGCAAAAATCTTTTAGGAAAGCCAGTTTGAGAGCTCTAAGAACTAAGTGAGGGGCAAGGAAACGTCTGAAGGAAGGCAAGGTGATAAACAATAATGATAGACTATGACGGTAGTCTTCCAGAACTCCTTAATGTCTTCCAGCTCTCTCTACATATACTGTGCTCTTGGCTGCAGACAATTATCTATAATTGACCAATAAACCCGCTGAAGGTTCAGATGGAATAAGGGCCTCACCCAGCTGTTGAGTGAAGCCTTTTCCTTGCCAGCCGCTTTGGTTTTCCCCCACCAGTCTGGGCTCTGCTACATTGTAGTCCCCAAATAACACACAAGACGCTGTATTAATTATAAAGCTGTTGGCCTTGCTTGTTTCTTACTGGCTAGCTCTGACTTAAGTATTTACTCCATAATTGTTAATCTAAGTATTTCTCTTACTGGAGAAAAGGTCTGGACTTCTTATCCTTATGGCAGCTACATTGTGACTCCCTGTGTTTCTCCTTCCCAGAATACTCCTTGACTCCTAGTCCCACCTATCTTGCTTCCCTATTGGCCAACAGTGCTTTATTGACATATACACAGGACTTCCCCATCACCCAGCCTTGGAGACTGAGTCACTGCTAGAGCCAAGACTAGAATTGGGGTTTTGTTTCTACACCAATGACAAAGACATTATCCTGTTTACAATGATGTCTGGTGAGGCGTGTACGCATCTCCTAATTAGACTCATTTTGGCCAATTGAGTGCCATGGCTTTCTGCAAGGACGTGAGGTGTGTCCTTTGCCCTAGTCTGAAGAGATATGGGCAAATTGTTGGCTAAGATGATGAGTACCATTGGCAAATGGATTGGCCACAAGTATCTCATAGACTTCTGAGGCAATTTTTAAAGACATAATTATCATGGTTGGTCATACATGGATGTGGTCAAGATTACTAGAATGTTATTTGGATGGCTATTGACAATGACATGTTTCCTGGCAAACTCCTTTCTCTGCAAAGAGCATAAGGTGTATGTGTAGTCTGTGCTCTCCAGAAGCCTCCCATCTGTTAAAGGCAGGATAGAGATGAGGTACAGCTCAGTTGTTGTTGCTGCTATTATTATTTTGGCTTTCCACAGGGTTCTCTATGTAGTCCTGGCTGTCCTGGAACTCACTCTGTAGACCAGGCTGGCCTCAAACTTACAGAGATCTGCCTGCCTCTGCCTCCTGAGTGCTCGGATTAAAGGCGTGTGCCATCACCACCCAGCAGAGCCTAATTCTTCTGATTCACCTATGGGCACCCTGGCTAGCCAGCTATGCAGATAACCCAGCCTACTCTGTAAGTTTCTGAGGGTTGTTCATCCAGAACCTTCTATTCTCCATATGGAGTTTGAAGTAAAAAAAAAGTCCTCCTGCATCAAGGCTTTCCTGGGTAGTTGCTCCCACACCCACTAGTGGGAGGACCTAGGCATGTGTCCCTGGGGAGCATAGGGATCCATTGAAGTAGGCGGAGTCCACAGAGCTGCACCAACTGCCACCATGCCCAAAAGTGTGGGCGTCATGTGGCCCGGTCTGGTAGCTTTCTCTAAAAGTTAAGAATTACATCTTTGGACCACTTTAAAACTTAAGCAGTACATTTCTACGGCCTACATGCAACTTGCTTTTATGTTTCACAACTTCACTATGTTCAAAGTTTTCAGACCTCGGAAAGTTGAAAAACTAGGGTGACTATCCCCACCTCCTTCGCTGTACCCCACCCTTGGCTGGCATTTTACATGTTACACCACCCCCAACACACACGCACTCACTCTTTCTTTTCGGTTAAATGGGTTGAAAATATCAACGCCATGGTCTTCCACCCCTCAGTACCTCAGCCTATCATCTCAGAAACAAGGATACACTTCTGAAAGACCACAAAGGTTTATGTTTGGGAAACTAAACGTGATAGGATGGTAGTTAACACACAGGCAATGCTCTCGCTTCCTTGATTATACCTTTTCTCTGAAAAATTTTTAAGATTTGTTTTTGTTGTTTCATTGTGTGTATGTGTGTGAGCCTGCATGTGTGCAGAGGTACAAATGTCTGCAGGAAGCCGGAAGAGGCCATTGGACACCCTGGATCTGGAGTCACGGGAGTTGTGAACAGCTGTGTAGATGCTGGGAACCACCTTGGTCTTCAGCCAGAGTCGTAGGTGATCTTAACCAAAAAGCCACCTCTCCATGCCTGTCTGTTCTCTCTCTTTAATACACAAACTAATCTATAATCCCATCTTATAATTAGCTGCCACGATCGCCAGCATTCTTCAACAGTCACAGGCTGCCTACTTTCCTTGTCTTTTACAACATCCGTGGCCTAGAAGAAGAATCCTGACTAAACAGGACTCAGAAGATAGAGTCTGGATTGTCCCTGAAGATGTTTTAGGCACACACACTGCAGAGGTGATGTCGTGTCCTTCCATGCAGTACTGTGGGAGACAAATGAAACCAGTTTACTCAATGATTGCTGAGGCCAACTCAAGGTGGTTTCCACTGGCAATCTCCCTTGTCGAGTGACCCTGTTTCCCTTTGTAACTAAGAAGGTATCTTCGGAGGGATGTTTTGAGACTGTCACCTCTGGCTCATTTGGCATCTTTGCACGTGTTTTGAGAGATACAAAAGGGACAGTGATATAAGAATAAGCAGTTGTCTAGGTTCCTAAGGCCAGGTACCCTGGAACTCAGGATGCCTATACCTGCTGCTGGTCTCTGCACCAGGGGACTATCACCTGTGACCATCCATTGGAAGTAAGGATTGTATTTGTCACAGAAGTCAGAGGACTGTCAATCCAAAGCATGTAGACACACTAATTAGCCATACCCTCAACTACAATGGACTGTGGCTGTATAAGACGGACACCTCAGGTAATAGCAGTATACTTCCAACATGAATGCAAAAACACGAGTTCAAATGCAGCTACGGTGGCAGGACCCCATTTCTCATCCTGAATCTCAGTTTTCTCATCTGTACAGTGGAACCATCTAATCCGTAATGTCCATTTCAGCTACACCATTTTAAATGATTGAACACCTTCTATCTGCTGTACATTTCCAATACTGTATCTCTTTTAAATGATCGAAAGCTCAGGTTTTGCACAGGAGTAATCTTTTTTTTATTATTTATTTTTTACATTCCAATCCCAGTTCCCCCTCCCTCCCTTTCTCCCAAACTCTCCACTTCCCCCACCTCCCATCTGCTCCACAGAGAGGGCAAGGCCTCCCCTAGGAAGTCTACTAAGTCTGTCCCATCATCTCGTTGAGGCAGGACCAAGGAGCCTCTCCATCCCCAAATCCCTGTGCCTAGACTGGGTGTGGTATCTCTGCACAGGAGCAATCTTACGTTGAAGCCTTATGAAACTTCCTGTAGCCACACACCTAGAGTACAGATGAATCAGGATGCCAGTCTTGGTGTGTCTTAGCACAAGAACGGTACACGCCAATCTGCGGAGGGAGGGAGAGAGCAGGTAGTGGTAGGTTTTTGATGTGGCCACATCTAATTTATCTGTCCTATCATGTGTGTATGGAGGACGCACACATGCTGAATATCACATCTTTCAAGCATAATTAGAGCGTCACGGCCCTGCAGAAGTAGATATCCTTGTTCTGAGGGGACGGATGGAAGTATTGAGGGGTGGGAGACCTTGGTGTTGATGTTCACAACCCATTTAATCGAGCATAAAGTATGAGTGTAGACGGAGGAGGGGAGAGAATGTGAGAATACACACGGGTGTAAATTACATGAGAGAGTATTTATGAGAATATGTGTACGTGCAAACTGTACCCAAAGGTGGGTGCAGTGACGGAGGTCAGGGTACTCATCCTATTCCTATCCAACTTTCGTAGATTTGAGAATCTTGAATATAATATAGTTATGGAAAATAAACGTAATGTGTATGTTGGCCATAGAAATGTAGCATGCAAGCTTTAGAGTCTTTTTTTTAAAATCTGAGCCAATGTTTAAAAGCTTGGAAGAAGACCTGCTTTCGTTTGTTTATAATATGTCTCCCCAAATGATTTCTAGGGTAATCGGACCCCGAGGATTATGACCCAACCAGTAGATTACTCCTTTGACAGACTCATAATCCATAAGCGATGACATTGTTAGTCACAGAAACTTCTAGGAGTAAGGTCTAGTTAAGGAAGCATGTTCCTAAGGACATGTCCCTGGGGACTTTACTTTGTTCCTGGATCTCCTGTGTCTCTCTGCTTTCCTCACACTATGAGATGAGTTCTGCTCTAGCACATATTCTATTCCATATGCTTCACCCCAGGCCCAAAGCAATCAGTGCCTGCCGATGTGGACCAACACCTCTGAAACAATGAGTCAAAATGAATCTGTCCTCCTTTCGATTGTTTCTCTGAGGAATTTAGTGCAGAAAAGAAAGGTGTTGCCAATACTAGGAGAGGAATGGGACTGACAGCTTCATGAGTAGGGTTCCTCTTGGGGCGATGGAAATGTCTGGACTGGAATGGTAGTAGTCTTTGGGAAACATTGTGTCAGAAAGAATACATTTTAAACCAGGGCTGGTGGCACACACTTTTAATCCTAGCACTCAGGAGGCAGAGGCAGGCAGATCTCTATGAGTTTGAGGTCAGCCTGGTCTATAGAATGAATTCCAGGACAACCTGGTCTATGGAGTGAGCTCCAGGACAGCCAAGCTATTACACAGAGAAACCCTATTTCAAAAAAACAATAAAAAAGACATCTTTTTGTTTTGTTTTTGGTTTTTTGTTTTGTTTTACGAGACAGGGTTTCTCTGTATTGTTTTGGAGGCTGTCGGTCCAGCCTGGCCTCGAACTCACAGAGATCTGCCTGCCTCTGCCTCCCGAGTGCTGGGATTAAAGGCGTGCACCACCACCGCCCAGCAAAAAAAAAAGACATCTTTAAATGATGAGTTTTATATTAATTTTACCTTAATTTTTTAAAAGCCACCAAAAAGCAAGCAAGCAGACAAAACCAAATTCACCTTTCTTTGTACTATGTCATCTTTATGGATAAACTAAGTATTAATTACAAATATGAGAAGATTTATGGATCAATTCTAGCCCCATTATTCTTCATAAAAATGGAAGTTTGGAAATAACCTAAATATCCAATAACAGAATAATGAATTACCTAAATTGTGAGATAAAAAACAAGAGACTATCATGGAGTCACTCCAAATCATGTTTTAAAAGAACTTCAGTGGGGCTGGAAAGATGGGTCAGTGACTAAGAGCACATGCCACTCCTGCAGAGGACCTGAGTTCAGTTCCTAGCGTCCTGCCAGGGGTCTCACAGTCAACTGTAACCCCGGCTCCAGGAGATC